AATAAATTCGCTAATGTAGACCCCACGCTTTTTCCAATTGATTCGACTTGATCTTTTGCATTGATTAGGGAAGCAGCGCATGGGCACATGCTTTTCGGATCAGGTGTATCATCTAATAAAGAGTGTTGCGTTATACGCGATTGTAATATATTTTTATTCATTTGGTCGGGTGCATGAAACTGACTTTCATCCTCGTATTCCTTTACTTCATATGATGGTCGAGTATCAAATTTGCGTATAGAAAGAGGTACTATATAAGCATGATGTGTATTTTTACGATGGTTCTTCGTAATCGCTTTCTGCCTTCCTGCTGATACTGCTCGTCCTAGTCCTGACCGTCCATATCGATGTGCGCGTTTGATTGATCCACTACCGTTTTCAAACGTCATCCAAATTCGTCGTTATGATGTCCTCGGGATTACTATGTAAAAATCTCTGCGGTTATTACGGTTATCAACTGCCTCTCGCGCACACATGCCATCAAGTAATATTTCATGAATTTGATACAATAATCACTCAATTAGGTAGAGCTTTTCTATTTGGGTGGGTGGATGTTCAAATAATGTAAGCTGAAGGGCATAGTAATAAGATAAGCACTCAAATTTGATAAAACTACCTGAATCATGCGTATGACGCTGAGCATTCACGATAATAGTCACTTTCTCCACTCTATCACGGGTCAATCATAAGTGTTAACATTCATATGCGACAATCTGCCCTTGGAAAGCTTGTTTTTGAATGTTATAATCGTTGAGTAAAAACGATCTTCGCCGTCGAAGCCAAGAGAAGATGCAAGTTCATTGTTAATAAAGAAAGCACCAGTTTCGTGCTGGTTATTGTAGGTAGTTTCAATGTGAGCTCTGGTGATTCTCATTTTGGGAACAGTCAACCGAGTTTCAAGCGTTTTCGGGATTCTTGCGAGAACAAACTTCTTGGCACTTCTGAAAACATCGGCTTCTATTTGAGCGTTCCCCAGATTAACATTCAACCAGGCGGACAACTTTTCATAATGTTTATGCAGGTGTTCCTGTAATCAACGGCCACCAGTTTCAAATACATGGCGGTAATAGCAGAAACTTGGACTTTGCTTGCAAAGAGTCGCCAAAATATTCTTCCAATGTCTTAAATCCGTAAAAAGCGACGATTCTATCGGTGAGAGGAAACAAGCCTGTTTCGGACTGAAAAGTGAGTGGCTTCGTAACGGTCTTGATGGTGAAAGCTAGGAAACAAGAAAGAAAAATAATTAATTCAACGGATAACAGTCTATAATACAAGCACATACAGAAAATAGTAATGTCCATTTACCGGGTTGCAATCACAAGAGCAGTGACCAATATACGATTATCGTCATCATGCTTAAAAATTTGGTTATCATAAATCTGACTGTCAGCAGCTTGACTATGCCAATTTGTAAAGTTTGTCAACAATTCCTGATGATTTCCAAAATTGGAAATTCGAGCTAATCAATCAAGCTCATACGAATTATCAAGACGCTTCCACAAAATGATTGCGTAGAGATGGCGGATCCCTATGTTCTGCTCGCTGAAAGTAAAGTTCTTGTCAAATGTCAGACAAGCCATTGGGGTGAGCTGAGCTTCTATGTGAATTTCGCTCTCCCATTTATCAAAGTCCTTTATCTTTCCAATCCGATTCTCTAAACAGCTCATTGAGCTCCATAGGAACCAAGATGAACAGCACGAAATATAAACCCCTCGTCGCCACGGAAAATAATCTTGTCACTCGATCCAGACAGGGGAACATAATGTACGCTTTCGGTTTTTTCAGTTGCCGTTATTATTTTGGCGATTTCATTCTCCTGGCACAATTAGGCGTGACTGTAAGGATAAGAAGGCCTCGGCCAATGACAAACGTTTTCGCTGATTCAAGAAGTTCATTCACGACATTCTCGTCGCCAATGCGCGTTTCTAACCAGGTGAATGCTTTTTCACAAGTATCAGTCACTATTGATATGCCCCGCTGATTTGCCATTGCACCCTGAAAGTAACATAAAAGGATTGCCGTGACATAGACATTATTATCATCGAATTTGGAGCATGACGGTGACGAGAATTGAGTGCGCAGTTCTTCTCCTACTACTTCCACTGAGAAAAGTAGCAAGATGAGCATCAAGTTCCATACGACCCCGATTCAGTTTGATACAAGATAATTTGGTCAATTGTCAATTCGGTTTTCATCTCATCTTCATTCGGCTTCCCACCCGTCTCTTCATCATTATCAACTTCAGCGTGATAGTCAGAATCCTCTGCTTCTACCAACCCCCTGGCCCGAACATTCCCGGTGGCGACAGCGATGATTCGTTTATAATCAAATTATCGTCAGGTAAAGTAGGTACATCGGCTTTGCTGATTGATGGCAACTGCTTGCTATAGTTGGCGTACGAACCGGTACCCGTTGGTTGGGAATACTGAATTTGGCTCTATATCTACATAATCCTCAGCAATGGCCGCACAAGTACGAACGTCCCGTATTTGCATCCCATCAGTTGCGTTGACTATCATTACAAATTGACCCCCCCCCCCCCAATCCATATTATGTCTGTCTCCCCCGCAAATTTGGTGTCGGAGTTCGTCTTTGCAGGGGAAAGTACGGCACCACCTTCACATGAAAAGATTGTAAGTGCTCCTTCTAAGGTCCATGCTACTAGCTTTTCTTTGCTATGGGAAAGGGCAAACGCGGCCGGTTCTTTGTGAACATTTAGGAAGGAAACCATCTTCCGGGCATCGGATGTAAGTTATCAGTTCACGTTTAGATAATCAACCAGAGCGATGCTAGTTTCCATTAAGAAATAAACTGATGCGTTAATACAGCGTATTTTCCAGAGCACAAACAATAAGCAAGAAATTATTGTAAGAGGTTAATCTAATACAGTTATACTCACGTTCCTCCACACATATAAAATGGTCTCGAGTAGCGAGTTTTTCAAAAATTTCACCTGATTCCATGGGTGATATATGCTTTGCAGGCAATTTATCGTAAATGTCCGAAAGATCTCTTTTTTCCAATGCCCAATTCCGTGTTGAGAAGATATAAAGCAATTTCTTTCTCGTATTATTCTGTACATCGCACACAATGGGCTTTGTGCTGTCAGAGGAAAACTTGATCGCTCCTCTTATATTCATCAGAGTAGGCTCAATTATGAGAATCTTATGGCTCGGTGGGAATAGTCATTGAATTACGTCATGTGTAGTAAATGGTGATGAGGGTAGCGGTAATTGACTGAGTAAATGTACATCAGATATTTCTTTACATTAATTATTGCTTGGTAATTGGCGATTGTTGTTAACCACGTCTGCGAAAGAATAACCTATTTAAAAAGTCGTCCAGTTTAATATGGCATCATCATACAAGGCCATCTGCACTAAATACCTGAATTGTCGATAATTGAAATGCACCTGGAAAGTCATCATTTGGAAGTGACGCTGTTAACAAATGCGTAAATACGCAATTGACTGTCAAATAATAGCCGTCCCTATCATGTCATGGAACCCATAGTTTGTAATGACAGATCTCGATTCCTCTATACACGTTGCTATATGTATCCTTATAATTCACATTCTTCATTGAATTCGGCTCCTTCAAGTCCTCCTCCGCGCGCGTCTTATATTTAATATTAAACTCCAACACGAGGATAAATAGCACTCAATAGAACAACCCTAAGAAAAATGTCGAAGCCGATAAAGACTTTCTGAATAGTTCATCAGAATCATAGGCATAGGCTACTTGGTTCATCAACCTAATTACACGCTTCAATCGTCACCAATAATGTCGAGATGGGTTCTGCGTATGTCATGATTTCGTTTTAGGAAATGTGGACTTGCACATCTCTAAAAAATACGCGAGAATGATATGTAAACAGTTTGCAAAATGGTTTTACCGCGTCGCTTTCTCCCTTAAATCTTTCACACGTCCTTACTTCGCACCTTCGGGTAATATCAAGTTCACTACAAGCTTCACTGGATTGTGTCCTCATCCAATAAGACAGAGTCATTCTCGACCCCTCCACTTCTTCCATATTGTGAAGTAGCATCCCCGTGCAATATGAGATTCGATGTCACTTGCAAGTCCCGATATTCTATGTTTTGTGTTGAAAAATGTTTGTCGATGGGGAAGAGTTAGAAAAAAACGTAACAAATCTCGTACTAACTTCGCTGTATTCTACCAACAGATGTGAATGGGGCGGACGCCAACCACAATACCTGCGGACAATACTCCACGTACAGCAACTATTTGCCTCTGTGTCAGCATACATTTTTCATACCCTTCTATCTCATTCCCACCCATCCATAATCCTCGATCTCCTTATGCTATCGTCGGATCTTCCTCGGGCCGTCATAATACTTACACTAGGCAGAAATCAGGTTCGGTTGTTGACGCCGTATCATTGCGCTGGAAATACGGTGGGAGACGACGAAGCGTTGTGTAATCAAGATAGTCCCTATTATCATTATTATTATTCGAGAAAGCGCGCGTTAAATGCTCACAAAATGTCAGGAATATGGGGATGAACATGTATTATTTTTAATCGCAGTCCTAACATAGCTACTAAATACTTTATAAATAACTGTCACATAACGATCAACAACTTGATCGTATTGAAATTATTTATCGTCAAATCAAGTGGCAACACGTCTATCACGGTCACACGATCTGAATAATAATTATAAGTATTAGTCTCAACAATCTCCGTAATTCATCATCTTCGTATTCTTCATCACTCTCCTCATCTTCAAAGTCATGCGTGAAACGCAACATCATAATAACTATAAGCTTATAAACGAA